ATCGTTTAGTTTGTTATTAAAGATCGCTTAGATAGTTCTTAAAGATCGCTTAGTTTGTTTTAAAGATCGTTTAGTTTGTTCATAAATGTCGTTTAGTTTGTTGTTAAATATCATTTAGTTTGTTCTCAAAAATCGCTTAATTTGTTCTTAAATGTCGCTTAGTTTGTTGTAAAATATCGCTGTCACTTAGTATTAAATGACCGAAAACCTGAGTAACTTTCGGCCGGGTGGCCGAAAGTCTAAGTCAATTTCGGCCGAAACCGAAGAAAAACCGAAAGTTAACTTTTCTCTTTCGGCCGAAACCGAAATTAAGCCGAAAGTTAACTTTCCAGTTTCGGCCGAAACCGAAACTTGGCCGAAAGTGATAAAATGGCCACTTTCGGCGCCGAAACCGAAGCCGAAGCCGAAATTCGGTTGGCCTCTAATTTTGATAATTGTTTTAACTCAATTCCCCAACAAGCTACACTTTGGAAGGATGGTATAACATCTCTTGGCGCCGTACGTTCCAACAGACTGAAAGGATGTACATTTCCTTCAGACAAGGAACTTTAAAAAAATGGCAGAGGTGTCAGTCTCCTAAAAACTGGATCTTTTGATAATGTAGATTTAAAAGTGATAAAATGTGTCAACAACATGGCTGTTACTCTGCTAAGCACTTTTGCAAGCATAGAGCCAGTGAAAAAGGTTAAACGCTGAGATAGAAAGCAGAATAGGAAATAGAGGTAGACTGACCTACTATAATCAGTCGCTACTAGTTTCATGGGTGGAGTAGACCTCCTGAATTTTCTCTTGTAGCCATGTATAGAAATCCAATCAGATCTAAGAAATGGTACCACAGAATTACTTTTCATATCCTTGACCTAGCTGTTGTTCAGTCATGGTTGATGTATGGTCAAGATTTCAAGCACGCAGGACTACCAGAAGAAACAAAATTGTCTCTATTAGATTTTAAAATAGAAATCGCTCTGTGCTTGATGAATCAAAACAAAGCTCAGAATCAAAGGAAACGTGGTCGACCCTCAATAGAAACTAAGCCATAGATTCAAGCAAAAAAAAACACACGTCCCACAGCTGAAGTTTCAATTTTTCCTATTCGAACTGACAATGTAGGCTGCTTTCCTCTATCTGTTCCTGATAAAGGTCGTTGCAAAATGCCTGGT